TGTGTCTCACGCATACATACACACACAATGCAAGAGGAACCAAGAGAAAGTTCACATAACATAGATAATTTAATTTTTCTTAGATAACAAAAATTAGGGGCTGGAGAGATGGCTCAGCAGTTAAGAGCACTTGCTGTTCTTTCAGAGAACTCACGTTCAATTCCCAGCACCCACATGGTGGCTAACAACCATATGTAACTCCAGTTCCAGGGGAATCCAACGCCCTCTTCTGACCTCTACTGGCATTGCATGACACAGGTGTACTTACATACATGCAGGCAATCCACTCACACACATAAAATAAAAAGTATTTTTTAAAATCCCAAATCAAAAATAAAACAGGATGTGGTTGGTGGCTCATGTTATAATCCCAGCACTTGACAGACTGAAGCAGGAGGATCACCACAAGTCTGAGATCTGCTTTGAACAACAAAATAGTGAGTTCCAGATCAGCCTAGAGTACAGAGTGAGATCTTGCATCAAACAAAAAAAACTAGCTGGGCATGGTGGAGCATGCCTTTAATCCCAGCACTCGGGAGGCAGGGGCAGGTGGATCTCTATGAGTTCAAGGCCAGGCTGATCTACAAAGTGAGTTCCAGGCCAGCTAGGGCTACAGGGAGACCCTGTCTCAAAAAGACCAAAAAATAAAACAAAAAAAGACAGCTGGAGAGATAGCTCAGAGGTTAACAGTACTCACTGGCTGTTTTGTTGAAGACCCAGGTTCAAATTCCACCACCTACAAGGTGGCTAACAACGGTCCATAACTCCAGTTCCAGGGGATCTGATGCCCTCTTTTGTCCTCTGTGGGCACTGTACAACACAGGTGCATTTACATACATGCAGGAAATACACTCATACACATACAATAAAAATAAATAATAATAAAAGCCACCCAAAACACAAAAAACACAAACTATAAAATGTACACTCCCACACATATACACACACCCTAAAGTTGTCTCCCCAATTTCCCAGCTTACTCTTTCTCTATATATACTGCTCAGGACTTTGTCTACAGCCCTTTTCTCACACTCCCGGCCTATAGGTACCACATTTCTACCACCTCTAAGGCCCCTTGGTAGACAAATAACTTAGCATCTTGATTTCTGGGAAAGGCCTACCCTTGATGTTTAATTTCACCTCTTTGGAACATTGGAATGAAGGCCAAATACATCATGATGAGCCCTAGGGAAGCACTGGAGCCAAGGACAGGGCCTGACTCAATGCCATGCCCACCATCAGAGCCACCAGCTCTCCATAAAAGTGCCAAGATGTAGGACAGGGTAGGGCAGAGGGCCTTCATCACCTGTGTGACCTGTGATATATACATATGCACAGGGAAACTACAGTCTGTTGATTCATAAGTCTATCTTCCTCCCTACCATCCTCCCCAGAGAAGATTAAGCCCCCCCCCATTTATCTCCCCAACCTGTGCTTCTCCTTGATAATTGGGGAGGGTAAGGCTTTGAAAACCAGTTTCCCATATATACACTATATCAGCCAAGTACCAAGAAAGTATACCCAGGCCTCTAATTTCTTTCTAGTTCAGTCTTCTCCGACCATACTCCCACCCAAGCAACATGGGAACAAGGCTATGGAGAGGATCGTGTCTACCCTTCGGTCCCAGTAAATGGCTCCCAGCCCAGTGGCTGCTGGCATTCAGCTCTCCATTGCCAACTCTCTGAGGTGTAGAGGTATGCTGTGGCTCAACTCCCAGGTACTGGTATTTGGCTCCTGGGAGAAGAGAGAACATGGGCCCAGTCACAACCTTGGGAAGAGCTGCATGGCCAACTGGGTTGTCTTGGCCTTGCCATTCTTCTCTGAGAAGGCACATGTAAGTGCATACACACACACACACACACACACACACACACACACACACAGAGCCTTGTGGCCTTGTGTTTACTCCATTTGGTAAGGGGCGGAATCCAGGGTGCTACATATACACATGCAATACTTCGTGTCCTTGTGCTGAAGAACAGACAGCAGTCTGTGGGCATATGCGTGTCTTTCACATAGGCATACTCCACCCACACCCTGTTATGCCCACATGAATCTTTATGGCCAAAGTCACTGGGCAGTTGTGATTTTTGCACCAGTCCAGGTGTTAAGCCCCTGCTCCTCCTCCCCTTTGGTCTGTCTCAGTCCCTCCCTTTACTCTCCCAGGGTAAGTGCTTTCAGGCCACACAATGAGTAGAAGGAGGAGAAACACTTCTATTGAGGAAGGCGTTTTGTTGTTTCATCTCTAAAGAGGGCTGGAGTAGAAGGGGGGGGGGACCCACAAAATTTCTAATAAGCAGTTTCTGTCCTCAAAGCTAAAATGATTTTCTTTAATTGCTTGGTGGGAACAGTTTATTGTGGGGGTCTCTGCCCTCCCTCTCAAGCCTAATTGACTTACTGAAGTTTAACAGGGGCTTTCACCTGGAGAGATTGCAATTATTCCCCCCATCCCACATTCGTACCTGGACTTTCCCCACAGGGGGCCTTTGTTCCCCCTAAATACAGCAGTGACACAAATGTCCTCAGCAGCAGGGGAACGCAGGGAAGTGGTAATTTTCAGCCCAATGCAATTAGCCCAAGGCTTTTCAGCCTTCCAGTGAATGGTGGGGAGACTGTGGCATGTGGGAATAGTGAGCTGGGGCTGCTCTGTACAGGCCAAACAAAAGAGGTCTCTGAATTGGGCCCCATGGTGAGCTGGACCAGGGCTGGCGGGGGTGGGGTGGGGGGGGGTTGGCTAGTACTGAGGACTGGACAAGGGAGGAAAGGTGCTACCATCCACTACTTCCATAGGTAGCCCATGCAATCTGTCTTCAGTCAGGATTGTTCTTGCCACCACACCGCACAGTGAAGCCCAGTGAAGTAAACAGGGAATGGGGAGTGGCAGCCTGGGCTAAGATGAGGGAGGTAGTTGTATAGCAGAGTGTTTATCTGCTTGGTTTTCTCTAGCAGACCTGGGGCTGGAGCTCATATCATGTTTGGGCTTCCAGAAGTACCCCAGTGATGAAGCTTTGGAAAGAGGCTCTCCTATGAGTTGAAAATCAGGGAGACTCAGGGGATTCCTGTAACACTGAAGTCTACTGCTACCACCACAGTAGCCTCAACCCAGCACTGAAACAGCCTCTGCTGAGCAGTATCAAGACTGGAGGCACAGGGTAAAGAAGCAGCAAGGGGCTTGCTTGAGTTCAGAGTCATGGTGTTCCATGCTCAAAGGCTGGAATGCAGGTTCCAGGAATGGACGCTATCACAAAGCAGAAGCATGCAAGCTGCTAGCTTCTTACCTCAAGCCTCCTGGAGCCCTGACCTAGACCTATGAGACAGAAGTGTTCTTGCAAAAATGCAAAAATAAAAGACAAAAACAGACAGGCTGAGTGGTAAATTAGCTATGCACGGGCAAGAGAGAATAGTCACTTGAACCCACTGGCCAGGGAAACCCAAGGCAAGCAGGCAGAAGAGTACCAGTATGGCTCTGAGCCTGCTGTGTAGCTGGCCTGTAGTACCAATTCAGCAACATCATGCTGCCCACTTTGGGCAGGCCAGACACCTCCTGGGGTCTCACATGTCTTGTTTGTAAAATAGAAACCAGTTATCCTAGAACAATGTTTTTTCAACTAAAAAAAAAAAGTTAGCAGAATATATGGTAGGTTTATAAGACAGGAACTACTCTAAGTTGGGGGTGAGTGGGACAAGTTTCAGCTTTAGAATCCTAAGCCTGCTGCCTTGGACGGATCTTCCAAGCACTGTCTAGAAACCCTAGTAGTAGACTCTTTAAGGCTATTCCACTAATAACATATTGATCCAGCAGAATCTGAGGCTAGTAGAAAACAGCTAAGTTTCATGGTATAGGATACTCCTGCATAGCCTCACCTCCCAGGCTTTTCTCTCATCACACCAAGAGAATGGGGTCTGGCCCCTTTGCCATTAAAATCTCACCATATACCATGGAGTCTGAGAGCCTAGGTAAGTGAACTCTACTCAAATTAACTACAGCTGCAGGCAGTTGGCACAGTTTAGTATACAGTTCATTGGAGGTAGTCAGGTCAAAGATTTTTTTGCCTGTTTGTCCTTGCCATGAAAATGCCTCCACTACAATATGCCACCCTGCTCAGTTCCTTGGCCTAGACTGACTGGTAGGACCTGCAGTTCTCTACCTACCCCACCTCAAGTTCTGCCAGATGGGCTTCCCTAGAGAAGAATCTACAAAGTGAAAGGTGGTTAGTCCAGCACCCATAGCTCAGAGATGTGAGAGCAGACCTTGCTTTCCTATCCCTACCTCTCACAGGACATCATTCTTACAGTGGCAACCCACTCCAACAACCTGCAGGAGACAAACAGGCTGGCAGGTCCATGAAAACTCATGAAACAGGCTGTTCAGAACAACTGGTTGAGCCTCCCAGTCACATACGGCTTACCTTCCATTCTTCCTATTGCGCCTGTATTAGCCTCATGTGCAGCCTGTAAGGACACCCTTTCCTCCTCAGTCACACTAAGGTACCTGCCTGGGACAACAGAAGACTTTGTACTGGAACCCACCCCTCCAACAAAACAAGGCCTTTCCCAGGAATTTCAAGCTGGAAGGAGTAGAAAGGGGCTTGGTTCTTTAGCGAGTATCCAAGAGTTCTCCAATCCCTGTGCTAGTGCCAGTGTTCAAGAAAAAACAAAGGAGTGTAAAGTCCAAGCAGAGAAACATGTCAAGAATTATTCTTTTTCCTTTTTTTTTCTTTTCTTTTTTTCTTTTTTTGTCTTTTTGAGACAGGGTCTCCCTGTAGCCTTAGGTGGTCTAGAACTAACTATGTAGTCCAGGCTGGCCTTGAACTTTCAGAGATCCACCTGCCTCTGCCTCCCAAGTACTGGGACTAAAGCATGTGCTATCATGCCTGGCTTCTTAATTTATTTTTATTATTTGTATTTATATGTCTGTTTCTGTGAATGTATGCCCGTGTGTGTGTGTGTGTGTGTGTGTGTGTGTGTGTGTGTGACTGTGAAGGCCAGAGACAAGTGTTGGATCCCTTGGGGCTGCAGCTACAGATGATTAAGAGTCCCTTGATATGGGTACTAGGACTTGAACTTGGGTTCTCTGGAAGAGCAGTACGTATTCCATTATATATAAATTTTTTTTTTACCTTTTTGAGACAGGGTCTCCCTGTAGCCCCAGCTGGCCTGGAATTCACTATGCAGACCAGGCTGGCCTTGAACTCACAGAGCTCTGCCTGCCTCTGCCTCCCAAGTGCTGGGACTAAAGGTGTGCGCCACCATGCCGGGGTGTGTGTGTGTGTGTGTGTGTGTGTGTGTGTGTGTAATTATAAAATCTATATATAAAATGTGTAATTTTATTATTTTATATATATGAGTATATTGCCTGCATGTAAGTGCACCAGTGTCATGCAATGCCTGCAGAGATCAGAAGAGGGTGTTAGATCCCCTGGAACTAGAGTTTGGAGAGTTATTAGCTGCCATGTAGGTGCTGGGAACCGAACCCAGGTCCTCTGCAAGAATAGCCAGTGTTCTTAACCACTGAGCCATCTCTCCAGCCCCCAGTATGCATTCTTAACTACTCAGCCATCTCTCTAGCCTCAAGTTTTTATTTTTGTTTGTCTTTTTAATTGAAAATAATCTAAGACAAATCAACAAGTTCTAATCCCAAAGGAAAGAGTTCATCATGGGACAGAGCCATCAATAGTATAACACAGCAGCTAATAGCAATGAACTCTGGAGTCAAAACTAGGGCTCAAACTCTAGATGTACCAGTATATATGTCTGTGGGTACATTAACTTCTCTCAAGCCTGTTTCCTTACTTGTAAACTGAGGATTAAATGAGATAGTAGTGTTCAGCATGGGGTTTGGGATTTAGCTAGAGCTCAGTAAATGCTAGTTACTCACCATCATCAGCACTGACTAGGCAGCAAGTGTCACTTTGGATTCTTGATCAAGGAAGTGGCCTAGTAAAGAGAACTTACATTGTTTACCTCTTGAAGCACCAAGAACTGGGATAAGAAATGAGAGTTGGAGTTCCCTACAGGCCACTTGAGAAAGTCACTGCCAATGCCAATGACAGACAGGATCAATTTAACCTGGCCAAGGCCTTATGAGATCCTGAGCCAAGCAGGGGCCTTAAGGGGCAAACTGGAACTTGAGCCCCCTCAAGCTGACCACAGCCCCTTTAACTGTCTCCCACCCTACCTTCCCTACCACCAGCTTGCTGGCTAGAAGACAGGGCCCTAGTGCCAGAATGAGTGCTGGCCAGGCAGGAGGCCGGGAGGCACAGGTGGTTCTCACAGGAGACCCCTGTGCTCCAGAATGCATTTCCCCTACAGGCACAACAAGGCTGGGGCTTGTTGATGGTCAAGGCGCCTTTGCTTGCTTGGGCTGTGGCCCAGACTGTGTGGTAGCAGAGGCAGGCCAGGGGATGAAAACCTAGGAGGGGCCACAACCAGCCCATTTGGCACCAGCCTCCTCCTTCCCTGGGTTTCTCACTTTGTTCAGCATGCAACCCAAGGAGCCTAGGGAAAGCACATTTCACTACCTAGCAAATAAAGTCATAGGGAGAAGGAGAAAGATGAAAGTTTTGGGGGTTTTAAGATTTAGTTTGGGGGCATTTAGCTGGTTTGAAAAAATAATGAAAGGAAGTTGTTGCTGCAATCCAATTAACTTCAGACCTAGGACTCAGATCATAAACAGCCAACAGTGATCCCACAGCACCTAATACCTATTCTCCCTCTTGGGAGATTTCAAGTCCCAATAGAACCAGAGAGAGTCCCAAGAAGCCTGGAGGGACTTTATATTCTGGCAGGTGTAAAAGGGGTGCTTACAGATGGGCTTCAGCCTACCCTACCACAAAAACCTGGGTTTTAAGCTCCCCAAGTCCACACATACCCATGCAGCATTGCTATCAATAACTTTCCACATGGAGGCTTAACACCCGTGGGTTTCCAGGGTTACCTATTCTCAGAATCCTGTCTCCCTGGTCCCCACCTGGGCACAGATTCCTACGACATCAGGAGATTACAATGGAGACTTTAACTTATCTGTTGTCCTCATTATTTCTGCCTTTGTCATCTGTTCTCCAACATGCCCCAGAGTACTGATGCCAAGCCCTCTTGAGTGACTATCCCCTTAGAGGGGGAAGAATTCTTCTTACTAGGGCTCTGAAGAAAGACAAGTTCTCAAACGGCAGTTTCAGGAGCAGCTGGGCTTGAGAACCAAGCAGCTACCTGCCATCCCACTCAGGTCCAATTTAACTCAACTAACTCTTACCACACCAAAGCTTAAACTTAAGAATACATTCTCCCCATCCCCAAGACATGTTTTGCATGGATTATTGAAATCACAAGCTATAAAACTATAGGCAAAAACAACAGGACACCAAAAAGATCATTTGATTAGAAGCTTTTTCTTTCCCGCTAAGCCATTTGGGGTAGCATAACAACTTTTCAGAAGAATGAAATGATACAAATTTGCAGACATATTTGGCAGTGGTGTGGGCTCCTGATTTACTGATGGTTGACCCCACCTCACTTCAGGCTTTTACTGCTTGTTGCTGGCTTGAATAACCCTCAAGTCTAAAGTTTCTAGGGAAAGCTAACTTCTCATCACCTACCTAATACTTAGAGCCTTCTGTGGAAAAGTCAAGGAGTTCAGACCCTGCATGCCATCTTTGGGTCAATTTCCACACAGCTTAGAGAAGGGTATGGGATTGTGCCTGCAAATAAATATCAGTGCTGACTACCTAGTGTTCAGCTAATTTTCACAAGGTGTTGAATGCTTCCTTTAATCACTTCTCCTTTGCTTTTGGGTGTAAAACTTACACAGAGAATGACTACCTTTCCCTCTGTGGGAGGACAGGGAAAGAGGAAGGAGAAATGAGCTGACTCTGAGCTCTTAAAGCCAACATTTACCCAGCCACGGGGAGGCTTCCATCCAGTGAGAAGGACTAGGTCTCCTTTAGGGATGAGGCCTACCACTCACTGGCAGAGACCCCAGGTGTTCCAACTCCTGATACCTCATGGAAGCTAAGACTTGTAATAAAAATAAAGCACAGTTTGGGTAGGGAAGAGAAAAATCTCTGGGCTTCTAATGAAGCCACCCAAACACTGAGACAAAATGACAGATTTTGTACCCCTGCTCATCAAACTCATCTTTTCCTACTTTCCTGAGACCACTGAATACAAGATAATCTGGTTTACTTGCAGAGCTTCTTCACTCAGTCACACTCCTTCACCTGGAGGATAGTTTTCTAGGGAACTCAGAGTACTTTGGACAGGAGTCTAGTGATAGCCAAAGGAAATAGGCAGCAAGCCAAGCTCATTATCTGAGTCAGATAATCTTCCATAGACAGCTCAGGCTGCCCCTGCCTGAATGAAAGTTACTATATACCAGTGCAGGATCACCTCATCACAGTCCTTCTATGGCCTACAAGCAGAAGATCTTGTGCATGCTGAATAAGGACAGCTTTGTCAAGTCACCATGCTGCATCTGTATGACACCATTTTGTCCTGAATACATTAGTTAAAATAGTCACTTACATATTTGGATATAGCTCAGTAGTAAAGTGCTTACAGAGCATGTGTAACGCCCTAGGTTTAATCCCTAGCACCTTCCTCCTTTAAAAGGGTCAAATACAAGGAAGACAAGCTTTGTGATTAACATCATTCCTATGATTCCAAATTCTCCAATCTTGGTTCCAGATGTGAAGTTCCCACCCCATCAGATTTTTCCACTTTCTTTTATTGTCCAAGAGTAAAAACTCTAAGTATCTTCTGGCCAGACTACCTCTATCTCACCTCTACATAGCTCCAAACTCTGCTTTAAAACCCTGGCTGCTCAGTAGAGTTGCCAAGGGCAATTCCTGCTTCTTTTTCCACCCTGAATATAGTTATACTTTTAAAAGGAAAACAGTCAGCTCTGGGAACCCTCATAGAAGTCCACTGCACTCTTCTATTTGTAATGAAGCTTAATAATGAAATGCCCTGCACACCAATTAGTAAGAAATGCTTGTTTTTTCCAGGTGAACGCCTCCATGGACTTATCTAATTTGCATACATGCCTGTGTCTTCTCCTTCATCAAGTTTGCATTTAAAGGCTGAGATATGCCAGTGCTCTCCCAGCCAGGCCCTGGTAGGATACATACCCCACGGGAGAGTGGCAGTTCAATCTTGGAGCTCCAGGCTGACTATCCTTGACACTGTTACTCATCATCATACAAACATATACACTGGCTCTCTCTCCCAAGCTTTCTACGAAATGGAAGAAGGAAAGTGGGAGAAATAGCTCTTGGAAAGATTAAGGAAAAAGGACAGTAAAAAGAGGGGGCTAGATACTACTGTGAGTGCCTATTTACCAGCAGAAGAAATATCCTCTGAAACAGTAACCCAAAGCAGGAGCTGCCTTTTCCTGGTGGGGCCCTCTGGGACTGGAGCCCCTCAAAAGCCTTGGAGGCACAGCTTGTTTCCCCTCTCAACAGGCCTGGCAGAATGACTGGCACTAATACCCAACACAGTCTGAAGGGTGCCAACAGCAGCATAGAGGAGCCACTGTGCTTGGTGAACCCTGGCAGGATGCCTTCCCAGGGCCACCTCATCTCTGCCTTCTGATCCCTATGAAAAGTGAAGGCATAGCCCAGTTCTGAAAAATTCATGCTTTAGAGGAAGGCCCCAGCCCAAGGGCCACAACCAGGCCAGAAATATAGCTATGTCTTGAGGGCTGGCCCCATCCACCGACTCTCTGAAGCCCAGGTCCTTGGAGGGGTCCCTCTGCCCAAA